ATAAGGCATTGAATTTTCAAAAGGATATGATTCATGTGTATTAAAAACTATATTGCGGCATGATATAGGAGGATTGTTAGGTATTTGTTCGTAGAAGTCTGTTTATATGTAGAAGAAATTTAAAACATGTGGATAAATTAAAATGCTGAACTAAACTAAACAACTGAAAAAGATGATTTTCTAAAGTTGAAATAAACTTCATCCGAGTTATTTTTTTTTAAACTATTTTCTATTAAAAGACTAATTATATAAACGAAGAATATCATTTTCAATCAATTCTCTTTAGGTTCAACAATTATATATCCAAATTAATAATCTGAAAAGTGGTCAGGTTTAGAGTAAAGTGCATTGTTTAAAGTTATAGGATTTGAATTAAGGATTGTTAATGTTAAGATGATTCATATGGAACGTTAACTTGAATCAGTTTATATATTAAGTGGAATTGTAAGGTTCATGATCAGAAAAAAATATAGGTCAGATAAAATGAGAGAAATAATACTGCAATTATAAATTCGATTAAATGTTCAGTCGAAGACTATAATGTGTAAAAAGTTAGTAAAATATAAGAAAGCAGGATGAATGCGAAGTGAATGTATCATGTACTCGAGAGACTAATAATGATGTTAAACCAATAATAATAATAGTAATACGAAGATATGTGAATAAAGATAAGAGACAATTATATTTATTACAATGGGTGTTTGTGGAGATCTTAGTAGTTGAATTCATGGGTCGATGTAAGCGGGAAGCCGTGATCAGTGGAATCTAATCCGTATCGGGCGTGAGACAGTCATCCAACTCAGATAATGAAGGGTTGTAGAAGATCACGGATCAATCGAAGTTAGATATTAACACCGTTGAATGCCTCCTTAGTAGTTGAGGTTAAGCGTTCGCGCGCGAGAACGAAGGCCCTGAGCTTGAGTCCCGCATGCAGGATCATGGATACGCACTGCTGGAGTTCCATACTAGGAAGAAAGGGCCATTTAGTGTTTTCACGTTTTCAATGGTGGTCTAGCTTACATCGACTCATGGATTCAACTATTGAAATCACAATTATATTTGATTAAGGAAAGTCGTAAGTACATTAGTCAAATTAGGTCATTCAGTAGCTAACATTACTATTGATTAATTGGCCCTGAAGTTGACCAGGGCAAGAGAAGCAGTTGGAGATATTTCTTTCGTACACATATTTTCGGTTTCTTAATCCGAATGGTTACTGTTTTCGTCGTTTGAAGGATTATGAGTCTGACAAGCTTCGGCAAAAAATTACTAACCCGATAAATAATTGAAAAGGCTTGGCATACACTAGAACTATGACCTGTTTAAACCAAATGGGCCAACATTGAGCTGTTCACTTTCTCTACAAGACATTTGCCTGGCCACTCTGGGAGGCGTTCGCAAGCACGAAAATGTAAATTCCTAGAACTTCGACCAATACAACTTTCTCTACAAGAGCAGTCGAACTGATAAGAAACCGGGTGGTTGTTCTAGGTAATTCGTCCTTTAGCCTCGGTGTCACCATTGGGCGCGTAGGAAACACTAGTCGTAGTTCTCTGGCGTTCAGTGATTTTTGGATTTTACTGCGTAATCTCTGGATTAATATTACGCTAGCTGCATCACCTCCGAATTGTAGGCACATAAACAGGGTTTTTTTACTCATCGTTTGTATTTCGCCTATTCTAACCTTCGTGATCATATATTTGTTTATAAACTTTACAGGGTATCCGTTCTTCCCAAGCGTACTGCGCAAGGAGTTTAGCTATTCTTCAACTATATACGTAGAACATATAGTGCGTATTCGATAACTAAGAGTTTTGGTCAGGTTTCTTTTTTAATGTAGAGGTACAAAGCTAAGGAAATGTGTGTACTGTACTGTCCAGGTATTTTTCCACTTTAAATTCCTTCTTACTGATTCATCAGCACTCATAGTTTCTATTATCCTTTGACAGTATCACCAAAAGTCTCCAACTACAAACGGTAGATTCGATTTTTGAAAATGAATACAAAGTCAATCATAGTAATCAGCCATGTAAACTATATCCAAAGCAAAGGTGATGATTAAGTGATTTCATTTCAAAAATGTTTTAGTTGATGTGTAACTTTATTTGTCAAGTACAGGTTTGTGTAATTGGGGCTTTAGGTACATACTATATGTGAGGAATGATAATACTTAATCGATGGACCATATCGTATTTTAGGTGGAGTATGCTACTTCTAAATCTCCAAGTAAACTGGGATGATTTTAATTGTACTCATATGCGAGCAAAAGACCTGCCGGGATACATTACAGTGAAATCGATAAAATAACATTTCTCACAACAAACTGTGGTCCTTGATAATTACAAAATGTGCTCGACATAAATATATGACTGGGAAATTAAAAAACTGGATTGTTTGTCAGTCTTGAGCTATAGAATTAAGTTACCTGAAAATGAACGACTAGTAACCATATGGTTTAAAAAATAGTTGGCCAGGCACATATATGTATCGGTCCAAGTTGCCATACTTTATTAGCACAACAAGATGAACATCAAATTCATTGAAGCAGTTAGTTTAATGGTAATAGTATATAAAAAATGTTTGAGTAATAAGTATGGCGTAAATCACATTCAATGCGTGGGAATTGGTCCATCTTCTAAGGGCTCTAACAATAAGTAGGTGACGTTCGTCTAAGCATGGCCTAGTCATTGGACCACCACTCTTCTGAAGTGAATATATGAGTGAAATGTAAGAAATTTAATCAGTAAACGGCGTTGAAGTACAAATGCAACCCAAGGTAAGACCAAAAGTATGCTTAGGATAATAGCCGGAAATTGTACGGAAAAAACCATTTGTCATACTTAGTACCAATAGTTTTAGTTCGGCTAGTATATCTGACACATAAATAACAAACTAAGAAATGTGAGTGCTTCATTCAATTCAATCAGTCCCAATTATTATAACATTAATTTATATGGTACAAATCTTTTTACCCTAACTAGCATTAATGAAGGTCGGTCATAGGAATCAACTGTTGTAAGACTTGTGGAATAACTGAGTTTACTTCGACTTGAAGTAGGCACTAGAAATGTCTAGTGACAATGGAAGCTCTGCAGTCAAATTATTTAGCTCAGAGAACACTACGCCACCAAAAGCATTCATACCTGAGTTGAAAATCTTCTTTGTGGGATAAAATAGGTTTTGACAACTTGATCATCTATCAAGTTATCTAGAATAACAGAATAGCCTCTAAAATTGTTTAAAAAGTATGCAGATTTGTAAGAACGGATCGCCGAACAATTCACACAAGGAAAAATAAAGAACAAATAATTGATTTGCAGAGGTCTTCGAATGCTCGGAATAACCTATAAGGTTACTGATTTTAGTACGTAGCCTCTTAAGAATACTAAGTTACCCTCGTGAAGTTTGTGAGGGTAGGTGTGTGTCAAACGTTTAGTCTCTAGATCATATTAGTGAAAAATAATCAGCACAATGACTTAGAAGCATTCGGTCACTGTACATAATTTAAGTACTGAACAATTTATCACTCTGAAATCATATTCCCAACTTACTTTTTTGATACATTTCGTAATGTACTACTTTTGAAATCTCCTACATCTATCATCTGAAGCCTACTTCGTTCACGCAACCTAGAGGTCATTCTTGAGCGCATTAATAACTGACTGGTTATCGATCGTAATTTTTAAGAATCAGTCGGATAAACAGCAAATTGTCACGTTTTATTATTACTCAAAAAATAAAATAACGTGTCATTTATTTTAATGATTGAAATTTCTGACAAGTACGTTAATGATTGGATTGGTTCACTTTCGGCAAACTATGCAGACTGTTCAAAACATGAGAAAATAATTATTGAATACTTACACTTAATAGACTGTCGTCCTACTCCGAAGTCGGAGACATTAGGTGATACAGAACTATTATTCACATCGATTTGTCATTTTTGTTTAATGGTGGTGATACGATGCTTAAGGATTTGACTTAAAAGTTAGGACTTGATTGATGAGAGAATAAGTGATCTACAAACTGATTTCTTCCAATTATCAACTTGATATATTATCATGTTCATATTCTGTATGTGAGCATGTTATTTTATTATACGGAAAACGTATTCACCTGGTTAAGTGATCTTGTCTATGATTCCTAATCATTCAGGGGCTTAGTTTAGTAATACAGTCTTGTGAGTATCTATCACCCGGTTGCATAATATTGTTGAGTTGGTCTATTGATTAGCATTCTACTCATTGATTTTAGCAATTGAAACTTTAATCTGATCAATGACCAAAAGCGTCCTCGTAACAATTGGCTTTCATTTTAATTACAGTTTTTAACTTGTTTAGTAAGTTTCCAAGAAAGAACTGAAATAAAACAGTGTAATATACTCTCAAGTTCAAATATTCTTTTTTATTTCTCTAAATACTAAAGAAATGCCTTTAAAATTAAATTCCATCCGACATTAACCTAAACTTAAATCACACCCAAATTTTAAAGGTTACATTTGTTATCGAATCGCTCCCTGCCATAAATATCCTTATAATCCATTTCAACACTGTTTCTTTCCTCGTTTTTCTGCAGTACCTATTTTGATATCTTAAAAAACGTCATTAACACTCTCCTCACCAATTAAACACGACTCTTCAATCACTAAAACGAAACTGTTAATGGTTAAATATTGAAGCCGAAATGTGGAACGAGTAGACTGATACTGGCTAAACAGTTAGTTCAAAGTGAAGAGGGACGAAGGTGGAGCTGACCAATTGGTTAAATGAAAATGTTATAAAGTTAGTATAGTAATTTGAAATAAAAAACAAGATGCTATTAAGATGTGCTTGTACATAGTTGAGAAAATTTCAGATGTTACATATAGAACGACAGTAGATGACTGTCAATTATTGTTGCGCCTTAGTCTGGAGTTTCTTTTTGTCTCTACTGTGTGAGTGGAGATAGATTATTATATTATTCCGGTGTTATTATTACGATGTGAAAAGTTTGTTGCATTACAGCACCAACAATTGAACTACACTGAGACAAATAATACACACGTATGATCGTAAAAACTTTTTTTTTCGCTACACACTGAATTTAACAAAACTTCATCTGTGTTCATATTAAATAGAAGCAAAACGCTGAAAAAAATCGATGACCAAAAAAAGATACAGTCTAATTATTTCAGGGTTCTTGTCGTAGTGCCGATAGTTAATTAAACTTAATATCATGTAAGTGTTTATGTAATATTCAACAACATACTGAAATAATTATCGATAACTTGTTAAATGAATAAAAATGTAGTTTTGTTATTCTTTACTGATAATTAGAAATGGATATCTAGAAATATTTTAAGCAATCAACATACCTGTACGATACTTAGCATTTGGCTGCCAGTAAACCTGCTCCTGAGGGTTGGGTGGATAGTTCTTGAACGGTGTTAGTCGTACATCAGTCTCATTATGTCTATAGTTCTGATATTTTGGCTGAACGTAGGAGGAATGATAAGTTGGTTCTGAATGTAAGGATGATGGATTAAATGAATACTGACACATCTGTTGAGCTTCATTTTGCTGATAACTGAACATTGTCTGATTGGACGTTAAATCACTTGACACATAAGAATTATGACTTGAGTAAAATGGAACAGAACTTTGTTGATTCATTGACTGATCACTTGAAAATCTGTACATAGAAGAGATTTGGTTGGAAGCACTATGATCCTGTGAATATTGTAGACGGGGATTTTCAGAATTATAAGTAGGAGATTGGGAATTCTGAACGAATTTAGTACCTAAAATGAGGAAGATGGCTTTTACACTTTGGGATTTCAAGAACTATTGGATAAACTGTGTAATTAGTTATAACTTAATTCAATCTAATAAAAACTTTAAGCTGCAGCATTTAACTTGTAGCTGTATTTATTTTCTAAGGGATACCCGCATTAATTAGATACCAAAACCATATTGATTGAAGCTCGATCTAAGCCTGCGACTCAGTGCATAAGGATCAAGTATTTAAATCACTGAATCACAACTCCACTGTATGATGCAACGAAAAATATTATATATTTTATACAATATAGTCTCAAGAGTCGCGAAACTGAAGGATGATCAGGTGTGTTCAAAAATGTTCTTATTACTATTATTATCACCCACTACCCTAAAAGTACCATTCCCCATCGTGAATGGGGTTATTTAAAACAGTGATTTGTACAGAGTATGAAAACACTGAGACCCATGAACCGGTTCTACTTTAAAAGTAGCACTTATGTGACACTTTAGGGAGCTACCAACTCTGTAAGTGCTTATTTACAGTATGTACATCGCTACCGATAGCTCGAAAAAAAATATTACAGTAGGACATGAAGTCTTCCTGAAAAGTACCAACTGCTACTCTTAGAAATTTCTGTAGAAACAGTGATTTTTACTTGGCGTGTATAAGAACGACGTGACTTTTCTCAGACAAAACAATGAGACTTGGTTCTAAAGAGCATAAACATACGTGGTTTCTACCTTTCAAGGACGAAACTAAAAAATAGTAATGACTAGCCTACCTGGGTTCTACGTCGTCTAGAGTTTTAACAGCCTACGTTTCAAGTCAATAAACAGATAGAATAAAATAGCCTGATCAAAGATAATAACACACTGTGAACCGCGACACTACAATAAGTTGTGTTAGAAGATAGTACATAGCAAATGACTTTTTTCAATATCATTTATGTAACGGATGAATTGAGTGTACAAGCCGCACAGGTTACCAACCTAGGTCCGCTGTAATGAAGTGACATGTTCTAAATTACCATATTTTATTTCTTAAAGCTGTACATTATGCCAACCTTTAACGCACTGATTGTCTAATTGGTTCATTTGTCTCTAAATAGCATAGTCCTCCTTTCATAGGATCGATAATTTCCTACCCACTCAAAAAACATGTCTCTTAGTGTTTTTTTTCTTAAATTTGCACTTTATTCCCTCGTATTCCACAATGATTGTTTTCTAAACATCAGCTGATATCATACGACCTAACATTTGACACATATTTCTCTTATACATTGATTATATAAACGCATTTAGTTAAGTGGTTAATGAAGGCATTGATTAATTTAAGGGGAGTTTTCATCATAGATCAGTATCAACTGTAAAGATGGGAATTAAGAGCTAAAAATGATATAGACATTTATTATGTTTTATATATCCAACACAGCTACTTATGCCAGTATTTTAGTGCAACGACGACAACTGTTTAGATAGTACATTTCATATTCCAGTTGTTAGCTTCTACAGAAATGTCTTAAAATCCAGTGTTGGGTGAGTGTGCTGTCAATATTATGCGTATATTCTTTTGAGATGATTTTAAAGATTCTCCCCCGAATGTCTTGCACTTTTCTCCATTGAGAATTATGAGAACTTTAGGTCCTAAATCATGAAGTTACTCGTACATAATTTCCCCGACAAACAACTATATCTTATCAGCACTAAATTCAAACACGAGGAACGATCATGTCGAACTTGGAGCTCATTGATACCAACCTAATGACGAATGCAGATAGATTAGTGCTACTAATTATTGGTGTACAATGTTATATTTAAGGAGCATCTGACTTTCCAAAATTGGAATTAAGTCATTCACTAGGGGCTTAGGTATAAGCCACACTTTGAGTGTGAGGCTAATAGCATTACTCAGTTACCCAGACCGAAGTAAGCGGAGTGTCTTAACCACTTGGCCACCTCATTATGATGGTTATGCAGTTTTGTATTTATGTTTGCAAAAATGAAATGAATAATGAAGCCCGTTCGTTGACTACAAGTTATGCATTCAGCTTTGAGTCACATGGCTTGTGTAGGAGCTAGTGATACTACTAGAATAAGTAAATGAAAGAATGCGAGACAGGATTCGAACACACTATCTACTGAAAGTCAAATGTATTGACTACCACGCAATTGCAAGCATCCGTACATGAATAACCATGAGAAGTGGATGGCTGATAGTTTTTTTACTGATTCAGGTATGAAATATTCAACTATAAACTATGGGAATCAGTCAAACGGTTAGTAACGCAAGAGGAAGACTGATATGTTGATGTAGTTCTGAGAGGTATTCAGTCTGATGTAACGAAATGTGAGTTTATGTGAAGTAATGGGTATTGCTTAGATTACTTGCTGACCAGCTGCCTGAAACGTAGTAGAGTTTAGACACAAAAACTAGTTTATTGTATAATGGTCAAACTATTGAATCGCAAAGGTTTAAACTTGAAATCTATATAAATATTGATTATACTATAATTTAGTTTTATCTGCAATAAAACGTTACATACTATTCCCGAACAAATCTTCAATAGTTGTTTGTCATTTGCTGTCTTGGAGTACTTTTTTTATTCTGAATATCTTTGATGTTACTTTGTGTGGTTTGGTTAAAATAGTGGTACCATTTCATAACAGCAACTGTTATCGAACAAATAATCCTGTCTTTTTAAGGTATAAAACAGAATGAATAATAAATCCGCTAGTTTATCCGAAAGATGTACCATGTACGCATTAGTATTTTGCGTGATAATGACAGTTACCGACTCAACTAGGGCTCACCACTGAGTTATTATCATCGACTACCTGTGGTATGTTTGAAATGCTATTTTCATGCGGTTCTGTACTCTGTCTTATAATCTCATTGACATTACTCGCAAGACTTTTCGGTCGTAGAGAGCGCTATAATTTTCAGGAAGACTTAACTTGTAGGAAGTTGGGATTCCAGCCACTAAATGGAATTTTAAAAAATACCGACAGTATACTAGACCAAACAGAAAAAATATAAGAGAATATATATAAAATTATACTGAAGCTGAAACAAATAACGTACTATGAGGATAAGATGAATGACCATGAAAAAGTTGACTGGCATTGTTTAAGCGAACATTCTTATTTGACTTTAAAGGTAATGTATGATGTGATCCGACGACTGATGACATTTGTGGAGTGACTGGCATGCCATCAACGGTAATAGCTGCACAGTGGAGAGTATTGGAACATTTGCTTGACAGTTGGTCATGAGAATCATGATCAGAGAACTGTTCATTGATAATTTGCTCTGTAACCTGATTATCAAAAATACTAGGAGTTGAGTGATTTGTTCCAGAAGGCTGGTTAGATGGATATGAAGACGAAGACGGAGAAGAAACTTTTAAAGGGGTTGTAGCTTCTTGCTGACCCCATGTGGAAGCATTAGTAGGACCAACACTGCAACTGCTGCTACTGCTCCAACATTCATGCCCAGAGTCAGTGCTTGGTAGTGACGATGTGCTTGTTAGCTTACATCCAGTTATTCCAGTGGGAGATTTCGACTCAGAAATAGCTTCTTTGACAGTGACTAAAACAAGCTCTGAAGAATCAAGACCCTTAGGTGTTGAAGATGTCAGCATGGGCATGTCACGTTCCAGGATTTCTTGTAAATCGGATAAGAATGCATCAGTCTCTGAGAGCATGTTGCTAGTATGTACAATGTTAATTGACATATTTGCTCCAGATACAGAACTTTTTACATTATTGGACAGAACTTTGGAATTCAAAGGAGAGATTTGAGAGGTATTCACAGTTGCAGTAGACAATGTGGATGTTTCAACTCTAACTTCATCATCTTTATTTGGTTCAATCGGTTCACACAGAATCTGGTCCAAAACTATATTCGGAGCATTTGTCGAATCTAAAAGCTGTTCAACTACATCAGGTTCAGTCATACGATTAGTAGATGGGTCATTTGGACTAAAAGACAGTGATTTTACATTAGAATAGACGGCACTTTGTGAGAAGAATCCCTGATGTTCCTGCAAAGACTCGCTATTCACAATTTCACATGATAACTGAAGATCATTGTCCAATGTATTTGGATCACGTTGGTGATAATGAGCTGACTGGTTTGATACGGAAAGAGGATATGGAGACTGGATATGAAAATCGCTCGAAGGGTTAATTGAACGGGCTTTGCTCACAGATACACGTTGTTCATTATGGAACGGCATATTACTACCAGAAGTATTTCCAAAGGGTCTATTGATTTGATTTGACATACGGATATATGAATGAGGTTTCTGCTCGAAGCTTTTAGAGGCTGGGTGACTGAATAACATACTATCAGTGTCTTCCGAGACACAACAATCTCCAGATGGATGTGAAAAACCTGACATTGGAAAGGAATATACATCACTCCCACGGCAGCTAGGATCGTGGTACGAGTTGTCACTAGCATAAGAAGGGTCCAAAGGGACATAATTATTCATCTGAGAATTGTAACATTGCCGTTTTAATGGTTGACTGTCGGATAATTTTGTTACATTGAGTGCAAGACCTTCCTGTCTACCATACATCATTACAGGTTGGACAGAATTATACGGCTCATGATTAAGCCGATTTTGGTCCAACATTTTGTACAGTGATAGCTTTTTATCTAAAAAGGAAAACATACGTAAGTACAATAACGAATCAGATGCACGGAGTCTACAAAAATTTAAGACACCTCAAAATACATGATATTAGTTTTGGTGAAGACGAAGTATACTTAATGAGGCTAGACTACTGAACGATTAACAATTTCATCACAGAAATATGGAGATGTACTCTGGACTCATATACCTCTGAAAAAAGCGGTGATCAAATGACTGGTGCCAAAAAATAAGATTATCAAATGCTTTTTTCGAGAGCACACGACGCTCTACAAAAGTCGGATACGTATTTCAACTGAAACATTTGTTTTGTTTTTTAGTGTGGATCATCAATTTAATTCCGTGTCGAAATTTTACTTGATACCATAATTTGGAGAAAAAACAAGAACACTGAGTAGAATCGCATCAACTGATGGTTAAAAGACTACGAGAAATACACAGGCAGCTTAACATTGGCTAAACAGCATAACTCGGGGTAACAGGATACCCCAAGACCGAGTTAAAAGTACGTGATCGACTAGCTGCAACTGAAGTATGTCAAAGATTGAAGACATGGTAACAGGTAGTTTTTTTATAGTTGTCTTCGAGGTATAATTTTATTCAGCTACAATTACCAAGGTAAGATGACTGAGATTTATATTTCTAGTCAACACTTCAGGATGATATACACATAGAAAAACTAATAACAAAAATTGTTCCAAATTATGGAACTACAACTCAGCTTTTAAAGTAACCAGCTTTATATGATTGGGAAGCAAATTTGAAACTCACTCCATTTATTTTAATGTCGTAGACGACTCAAAACCCTAAAACACTAACCTGCGAGAAGGTACTAAGTTGGTTAAAACTAAACTAATACAGTGGTTGGTTAGTTGTTGAATCACTCATCTTTGAAACAATGTCCCAGGTTTAAACCTCACATTACATACTTGAATCAAGTATAATTAGTCACAATGTGGCTTAAGAGCGTGAATATAGATTGACTTATCAGGTTTTACTAAGTTTAACTGAGTTACAAACGTTTATTTTAGTAATTGGATTTTTATGGTATGATTTACTAAATCATCGTCCCAATTAAGTTTACAGAGAAGATATACACTGATTTACGATAGGTTGGCAATCTTAGTAACACGATTTGCCTCAACATGCCGTGTTAGTTCATTGGACTATAATAAATAAAAACTGATTCAAGGTCTAATACAAGGTTATAGGTATAGTTGATGGGCTATATCATACAGTTGTATTGTGTCAGGTAGCAATAAAAGCAGCCAGAAACATATCAAAGAGGTACATATCCAGGTATGTGACATTTCCAAGACATTCATCTGACTTAAAATCTGTAGTACATAGCCACCCACTTCAAACACATGTACTCTTTAGGGTAAACTAAATCCCAAGAATATGAGCTTAAAACAATTAAAGTCGGTGAAATTTACATAGTTTCCATACAGTCACGTTGTGTTGCATGATGAGGTTGTTCGGTTACTGGCCACATGATAAAGGAATCTTAATTCAGTAAGTATGAGCGATGTAGGAAAGCGTAGTTACCTGACCAAAGTTCATCGATGTTACCATTGTTCCAGATACACTATTGGTTTATCTTCAAAACTCCGGAAATCATGTTCCAAATCTTCCTTACTGTTTTTATTAAATTTATTTACATTTTAGCAGACTAAGTCTAAAATTGCATGAATTGAACAGATTTCCCGTAAAGCTCTGAAAATGAACCTTAATGGGACTATAATTTACAGGCTACCTTTGAGCGACTCTCAAGTGAACTCGAAACAATTCACCTACTAACTGTGTCAAATGTTATAAATTAATATGAATTAGGACTACGATTTTGAATCAGATTTTAAGGTTATGAATTTAAGTAAATGTTTTCATCACTAACGGACATCAGCTATAATCCCAAAGAGCTATTTAGTCATATGGATGAATGAACGCGCCCAAATTCACGACTTACCATCCATAATTTGCATTGGTTTGTCCATAAATTTTAGTCTCGCTATCAGCATCAGATGTACAAAAATTTTTCTGAAGTATGAAGATGTAACCTGGTAAAGCATATCCCCTAGGATTACTTTTGTTAGAGTAGTAAAGTTGTCTTATCGATTTATTATCGTTCCTCGGTATGCCAACATAGAAATCAGAATGAATTGTTTTTACTGAAAGTTCAATTAGGTGGGTTATAGTTACTACCCTTTACAACTGTACATAAATATGACATTCGATTTACGGATGAAGCTTTACTGTGATTCATAGAAAGTTAGTCCTAAATGAATTTCATCAAAACAGCACAATGTAATCGTAGACTGATACCCTAGTAATAACATACGCACCATGAAACTAACTCGCATTTGATTTTGACAAACAGATATTAAGTATTCAGACAAGCAGCACGGTGCCATATTGCTAGATATAACATAGTGGGCTCTAAGTTGTACATGACTGACTGGCTGACATGAGTGATTACTTACAAACTCAATTTAATAGCTTTAGGGATAACCAAGAATATACGAATATAGTCGGAGACGAGCATAAATGTGTGACTTACCACTGTGAAACTCGGTAATATGGCGTTTGAGGTGCATACGACGTAGCCCGCAAAATGAGCATCCTTCAAGCGGACATTTGAATCTCTTTATATCTCGATGTGAATCCTTTATGTGAGTTGATAGATATTTAACAGACTGGAATGCCTGATCACAACCTGAAATGTCACATCGATAGGATTTAGAGGCATCATTAGGGACTAAAAGTAAGCATTATGAAGCGGCAACTTACTCATTACTGTCCCTAAATTACCAACATGATCGCTTTCATAATGCTTGTTCGCCATTCTGGAGCCATAATTTGATGATATTTGACGCGAAACAATATGAGGTTCTAAAAGATCAAACAATTCACTCGAAATTTACCTAGGTTTGGAGCTGGAAAACCCGTGGATTGCTCAACATTTGAAAAGATTGGGAAGTCTTTGGAATCAGTTGTACCAGACATGGTACAACAGGCATTTGGCTCAGCTTTGGTACATGGAATCCAAACGCGAGAGTTAATAAAACCCGAATTTAAGTCATCAGAAGCGACTGAATCACACGGGGCGGAACCCATCTCAGGAAAAACAGTCGTGTTGTTTGTTGAGAGTGCTTCATGATCACGATGAGTTGCTTCCATATGTTTGATCACGTTACGATGGTACTGACTTGAATACACACAGTGGTTGCACTTATATCGCTTTGAAGTAAACGCTCCTGTTGTATGCTTACGCATATGATTTCTTAAAGAAGCAACATGACGATACTGTTTACCGCAAAGACTGCAATGATGAGCAGCAGAAGGAGAGGAAGGGCCCGATCCTTTCAAAAGGCCAGGTCGACGACAAACAGGACTGGAATTCGGAGATACTTTTTCCGTTTCTTTTAATATTTGAGAATCGACTTCAGATGTTTCGCGATGATTCAAAGAATCTACAGAAGGCATAACCGTGGGAGTTGAAAACATACATGAAGGTTCTGTAAGTGGGGCGAAAGAACCAACCTCAAGATTAGGGAAATCAGAGCGTAAGGTTAGGGAGTCATGAGTTTTATTAGAAGATTGGAATAGGCCAAATGAGTTTAAAGGCCCTGTATCTCTAAAATGGCAGTGGATAGCCGTACTTATAGGTGAATGTTCGGGTACTTCCTGAGTTGTCAAACGTCGCTTAATAAATGGTTCCGTAGGGGTCAAACTTCTGGAATACTCAAGAGCGTTGTGTCTGTCAACAGTTTTTGCAACCCCCTCGCAAGACTGATAAGCTGGCTCGTCGCATTTTATGGTGCCAAAAACGTCACGTTCATCATACATTGTTTTCAGTGTACTCTGAGATGGCTTGGTGACACCAGCGGTTATGCTAGATTTATACCTTGGTGTTCCAGATGTTGTCACATTTATTCCAGATGAACAAAAATTAGTCTCCCACGGTTCATGGCATTCCGAATCAACACAAGAACCTCCATCTACCTAAAAGCGACCGTGTACAAAGTCTCAGCAAACTTACTTCAAATTGATTGGAGGAATCAGCAGCATAATGCTCTTTCCTATGAAGGTCTTCACATGTGTTTGAGAACAACTCATTTATTTCTTGCATACCATTATCTTTAAAACAATTAAGTAAGTAAAAGATTTACCATTATGTTCATCGAGTCCTAACAGAATAGGGTCGACCGTCGGTTTATCCATAAGAAGCCAATCAATTTGAGATGTTGGTAGAAACTTGTTCATTACAAGTTCATTGGAGAAATATAATCAAATGAACAAATACGAATACAAAACAAATCGACGCTACGACCTTGGGGATTTCAAAACCCCACGCGGGATTTCTTCGGACGAAGTGTCTAAACAACGCATTGAAACACCATTACACCGAGTCAGTCTTATAGTTTAGTTCACTGTAGGCTGAAGAAATTGACCTCAGAATAATTAAGGAAATGTGGGGGCTCACCAATAGAGTAAACGTTTCTTTAGCCTCAGAAATTGTTAGGCAACTGGAAAAAGATTACTATAGACAGTGTTTTACCAACAGCTATTCCCTCTAACCTCGAAACGTATCTTCCTATTAGCTTCTAGTAGCTTAGTTGCTTGGAAGATCGTGGCCCGGAACTCTTGAGCATATCATAAAGTCTTTAACGGTTGCTAATCCCTAGTCAGTATGCATCGAGACATTAGGAATTTTCTTCACACCACTTTCAACGTTAACGCCACTGCATATTTCTTAACTTACGCTTCTGTTGGAACGTAGTAGGGTTACGGATTGACAATCACAAAATGTGATCAGTACAACTGATAGGATTATTAATACAAACTCCGTCAATAAACTGGTAGACGAACTTCAGCTCTACTTGGATGAATTAGCGGATAATTTGTTCTGTTGTATCTCTGTTTAGGTAGTTGGAGTGCGTTCTTGGTTAAAAAGAAGTTTGATTTTCATGCCATTCTCTTTATAAGCTGTACAGTAAAAGAATTTATTCCATAGTAAAGTAAAACTTGTAGCAGTTTCTCTTAGTACTCACGAGGTTTGAGTAACCTTTTTTTGAAGGATCCCCCAGGGTCTGCCACTGATAAAGATTTTTATAAGAAGTCTCATAGCTTATTGGTACGAACAACGATAACGCTTGCTCGGATCTTTCGCGGATTATTTCATCTTCTACTTTGAGCTGATGTCCTTTCATGTGTGACATATTACATATTACTTAAATGTATCAGTGTTCTATACGGGTGAAGAGAACTATGAGCAGTACGACACATTGGAACAAAACCCGTCCCTATTCTCTGGTACTTCATTGGGAGCAACTTAGGTACTTTTAGGTAAGCTGGGTATTGTTTTTTTGGTGTGAGTAACTTTTTAGTTTCTCGTCTTCTAAAAAAATTCAAGAAAGCAATATCCCTTTCAAGGAATAACGCATGAGCATATTTCTAGGTGAGATCTTTCGACGACACTGAAAATAGCTTGAATGATTCCGAAGTCAGGCTATCACCTTTTTTACAAAGGAACTTCAACGGTGACTACGCTTTCTTGACTGAAGAACGCCGGGAGGATGTTACACCCGGGTTCTTTACATTGGCTAAAAATGTGACACGAGAATTTGTCTGAAAGGACATAGTGGGTAGAACTCCGCCTGTAGCTCTTATAGGGTTACTGCCGGTCCCAAGCCCGGGTAAAGGAGGGTTGGGCATGGGGTTAGCGTCCCCATCCCGTAGAAAACTAACTCGCTAAAAAAACGCTTACCAGAAAAAATAATCCAAACCATTTTAACTCTGCCCTGGGAGTTAGAAGGTCTTCATTTAGAATAACTATGACGCTTCATGGTGAAAGCTGAGTTCCTTCGGAAGCCACGAGGCCGATGCCCCTTCTAACAACCAGAGCAAAAATTTTTTTAGGTACATGGAACGTTCGAACAATGTGGGAGACCGGGAAGACCAGTAAAATAGCAACGGAAATGAGGAGATACAACTCAGCAGTACTGGGAATCAGCGAAAGCCACTGGACCTAAGCTGGACCCAAGCTACGGGAGAAATGCTACTTTACTCCGGTCACGAAGAGGAAAATGCTCCACACACTCAGGGAGTCGCTCTTATGCTGTCCAAAGTAGCACGAAATGCACTTGTAGGATGGGAATCTCACGGATCCAGAATCATCAAAGCATCATTCAAAACAAAGAAGAAGGGGATCTTAATGAATATTATCCTATGTTATGCAACCACCAATGATAGCAACGACGACATTAACGATCAATTCTAACGAAATGCCCAAGAAAGGACCTAACTATTCTGATGGGAGATCTAAATGCCAAAGTCGGAATAGGCAACACCGGATATGAAGATATTATGGGACGACATGGACTAGGAGAGAGGAACGAAAATGGAGAAAGATTTGCAAATCTATGTGCATTCAACAAATTGGTCATAGGAGGCACAATATTTCCACACAAGCGTATACACAAGGCTACATGGATCTCACCGGACCACACTACAGAGAACCAAATAGACCATATTTGCATCAACAAAAAATTCCGAATGACAATGGAAGATGTGAGAACCAGGAGAGGTGCTGACATAGCTTCAGATCACCACCTAGTTGTAGCCAATTTAAAACTGAAGCTAAAGAAGAACTGGACAACTGGACAAACACAAATACAAAGGTTCAATACAGCCTTCCTTCGAGATACTGACAAACTCAATGAATTCAAGATAGCTCTCAACAACAGGTTCCAAGCCTTACAAGATCTACTGAAAGAAGAAACTACTATGGAGGACAACTGGAAAGGCATCAAGGAAGCATTAACTTCAACGTGTCAAGAGGTTCTCGGTCTAAAGAAATACCATCATAAGGAATGGATCTCTACAGAAACACTGGACAAGATCAAAGAAAGGAAGAACAAGAAGACAGCAATTAACAACAGCCGAACACGAACAGAGAAAGTCCAAGCACAAGCTGAATACATAGAAGCAAACAAACAAGTGAAGAGGAGCATTAGAGCCGACAAGAAGAAATACGTGGAAGAACTAGCAACGACGGCAGAAAAAGCTGCTAGAGAAGGAAATATGAAACAGCTTTACGATACAACGAAGAAACTATCAGGGAAATACAGTAAACCAGAGAGACCGGTCAAAGACAAAGAAGGCAAGCCAATCACTGAAATTCAACAACAGCGTAACAGATGGGTAGAATACTTCGAGGAACTCCTGAATAGGCCGGCTCCAATGAATCCACCGGACATCGAACAGCACATATAGATCTTCCTATAGATGTCAACCCACCAACTACGGAAGAAATTAGAATGGCCATCAGACAAATCAAGAACGGGAAAGCAGCAGGACCCGACAACATACCAGCTGAAGCACTGAAATCAGACATCGAAACAACCGCAAGCATGCTTTATCTTCTATTCAAAAATATTTGAGAGGAGGAACAAGTGCCGATGAACTGGAAAGAAGGACACCTCGTCAAGATTCCAAAGAAAGGAGATCTGAGCAAATGTGAAAACTACAGAGGCATTACACTACTGTCAATACCAGGGAAAGTCTTCAACAGAGTGTTGCTGAACCGGATGAAAGATGCAGTAGACGCCCAACTTCGAGATCAACAGGCTGGATTCCGTAAGGATGAGTCGTGCACAGACCAAATCGCGACACTACGGATCATCGTTGAACAATCAGTTGAGTGGAACTCGTCACTGTACATCAACTTCATTGATCATGGAAAGGCGTTTGACAGTGTAGATAGGAGAACGTTATGGAAAATTTTTCGACACTACGGAGTTCCTGAGAAGATTGTCAATATAATCCGGAACTCATACGACGGACTACAGTGCAAAGTAGTGCATGGAGGACAGCTGATAGATGCATTCCAAGTAAGGACCGGAGTCAGACAAGGCTGTTTACTCTCTCCCTTCCTCTTTCTTCTGGTGGTCGACTGGATTATGAAGACCTCAACATCTGAAGGAAAACACGGAATACAATGGACAGTTCAGATTCAATTAGACGATTTGGACTTTGCAGATGACCTAGCCCTCCTATCGCATACACACGAACAGATGCAGATGAAGACAGCCAGTGTAGCAGCAGTCTCTGCATCAGTAGGCCTCAGTATACACAACGGGAAAACTAAGGTCCTCAAATTCAAAGCGGAGAACAGCAATCCAGTCACACTTGATAGCGAAACTCTGGAAGATGTAGAATCCTTCACATGCCTGGGAAGCACCATCGATGAACAAGGAGGATCCGATGCAGACGTAAAGGCGAGGATTGGCAAAGCAAGGTTCGCATTCCTACAATTGAAGAACATATGGAACTCAAAACAACTTTCAACCAATATCAAAGTGAGAATCTTCAATACGAACGTCAAGGCAATTCTACTGTATGGAGCTGAAACTTGGAGAACTACAACAACCACAATCAAGAAAGTACAAGTATTTATAAATAGCTGTCTACGCAAGATACTCAACATCCATTGGCCGGATATCATCAGCAACAGCCTTCTGTGGGAGAGAACAAACCACCTTCCAGCTGAAGAAGAAATTAGGAAAAGACGATGGAAATGGATAGGACATACATTACGCAAATCGTCAAACTGCATCACGAGGCAAGCCCTAACTTGGAATCCTGAAGGGAAGCGAAAAAGAGGAAGGCCAAAGAACACATTGCGTCAGATAATAGAAGCAGATATGAAAAGGATGAATTGCAACTGGAAGGAGGTAGAAAGGATTGCCCAGGACAGGGTTGGATGGAGAATGTTGGTGAGCGACCTATGCTCCTTCCCTCTAGATTTTAAGATCATCTGCTTAGAGGAGAGTCCGATAGTCACAACGACAAAATGAGGGACAGTCTCAGAATTAAGCCCCATGTCACGTTACTTTCATAAAAAACCAGTCTAACACAACGGTACGCTAACAGTTTGTAATCTCTCGTCTAGGTAATTTGAGAGACATATCATTAGACAATACCCTGTTGAAAACTTTTCCCGGTATTGAGAGGAGAGTGATGCCCCTGTAGTTATCACACTTGCTGAGATCGCCTTTCTTTCCAGTCTTTTGGTACTTGTTCCTCATCCCGAATCTTATTGAATAGAATGTGGAGTATCCTTGCAGTTGCCGCTACGTCTGCTTTCAGTGCCTCTGCTGGAATGTTGTCTGGTCCAGCTGTTTTGTCACTCTTGATTTTTTTGATGGCCATGATGATTTCTTCAATTGTTGGTGGGCCAACATTGATTGAGAGGTCCGTGGGTGCTGCTTCGATGTTGGGTGGGTTCAGTGGAGCTGGTCGATTCAAGAGTTCTTTGAAGTGTTCTACCCACCTGTTTTG